GTGAATGAAGCGTTGAAATGTTTGACCTGCATTGCAAAGTCCGAATGCCATGTTAGTAAATTCAAATAATCCAAATGGAGTTATGATCGCCGTTTTTGGAATATCCCCCGGTTCAACTGGTATCTGGTGATATGCCTTAATCAGGTTGAAAAAACTTTTTGGTTATATAACATGTGTGCAAAATCATGTATGTGAGGAACTGGGTAACGATCTGGGATGGTGATTGCATTTAAGCGACGGTAATCTCCACAAGGTCTCCAACTACCGTCTGGTTTTTTTACCATATGTAAGGGGCTAGCCCAATTGCTGCTTGATGGACGGCATATTCCGGCTGTGACTAAGTTTTGGAATTCTTCTTTTGCTGCTGCTAGCTTGTCTGGAGGTAACCTACGTGGTCTCTCACATATTGGTGGACCTTTTGTTAATATGTGGTGAGTGACTTTGGTCACCTGGCGATTTGTCGGTGTTGGTTTAGTGATGTCGATGTATTCTTTTAGTAGATCTGCAATTTTGCAAGATGTGTTCACAGTTGATATTTTTTGCGCATTTACCTTACGTTCACTTGCGGCTGAGAAAATCTTTGTTGATGTGTCGATCAATCGTTTCATTTTTATGTCTACTATTAATCCGAAATGATTTAAAAAATCTGCACCGATGATTGAAGTGTTTACATCTGCGATAATAAATGGCCATGTGAAATTTCTTCGTAAGCCAAGAGCTAGAGTTATCTCTATTTCTCCAAATGTTTTGATCATAGAACCATTTGCTGCGTAGAGTATTCTTTCGTTCTTATTGTTTGTATTTGAATTTTTTTGTTTGGCGGCAATAAGTGAAACATCTGCACCCGTGTCTATTAGGAATAATTTTTTTGTCTTATTGTCATAGACGAACAGTCTTGTAGATGTTTCGTTTACAACTTCCTCTACCGCCGTAGACGAAGTCGGTTTTAGTTTTTTGTGCCATATGTGCATGGCTGCTTGCAATTTTTTGCATTTGACCCATATGTTCTATGATACCAACAATTTGTACTGGTCTTTTCTTCACTATCGTCATGACATTGCCGGTTTCTGGATGTTGAACGTGAACGTTGATTTGTTCTTGAGCGGTGTTCGGTTGATAATTTCGAGACCATTTTCGTCAGTCTGGTCACTTCTCGTTGAAGTTGTTCGATTTGTGCATCACGTTGAATATGAGCTGCTGCAGGGACGTTAGCTGCATTGACGTAAGTTCCTTGCATTGTTGAGTTTATACGGATTGTTTCGGTTATGTTGTCTGCCAATTCCGCCATCTTAGGTAGTTCCACTTGAATTGTGGCTAGACATGTCTGTACTTCTACAGGAAGACGTTGTAACCATAACCCTTTCAGTAATTGTTCGTCTTGTTTGCTTCCACTAATACGTTGCAATTCGCTTAAAAGATGGGATGGCTTTTTATCCCCAAGCTGTAAACCACTAACTAATTTTTGTATGCGTTTTTGTTCACTATCCGCAAAGTTTTTTATTATTGCTTGCTTGATACCTTCGTACTTCTGAGTTGCTGGTGGATTCTGTATTGTGTTATAAATTTGTTCTAACAGCGATGCATCCAATGCTGCGATAACTGTGCCAAACTTTTGAGTATCGCCCTTTATGTTGTTGACTTGGAACCAGTAGTCCAACTGAATAAACCAAAGGTCAATGTTGTTTTTTATTAATGTTGGCATCGGCAGCTTTATTGCAGTGATTGTTGCGTTTTCGTTGATTGGGTTAGTGTCTTCAGTTATCTCCTTTTGTTCTTGAGTAGCCATTTTTTATATTCGGCGTCGGCTTGGTCACCAATGTAGTGGTTTGTTATGTTGGGTTTTATTTCGAATTTAACACTCCGTATTGGTAATGGATAAGTGCTGCTTTGTCTTTTTCCAAACTACTACTGGCGGGAACTGCGGATATTGTTGTCTCCTTTGTGCCTTGTTGACAGTTCTTTTATTTATATTTTTTGGTGCTGCCACAAGGTAATTCACATAATACTGGATTCACATAAGGGTTTTGTTTGTAATTTTAGCTGTCAAAAATTGTCATTTTGCATTGAATGCAACAACAATTGACTGCTAAAATTACAAAAAAAAATCTCGTGTGAATCCAGTGTAATGAAATGTTCATGGCATCCAATTTTTCTTTTATTTTTATTGAAAAAGAATGATTTATTTATCATTATCCAATAAATAAATAACACTTGGTAAATTTTTATTTTCTGTATGTGGGAATATCAAAGAAATTTAATTTTACTGTTTATGTTCAACTAGTTTAAAAAATTTCAGATTTACTGTTTTAATTCTTCTTTATGAAAAGCTATCAACGTATTCTGTAGAGGTAATATGATACATGATTTCATAATATCCATTGATTCTCTAATCATCCAATATTGGAAATAACTGCTTGATTTTATTAATAAAAGATTAAATTATTCTAAAAGTATTGCCGCTTAAATTTCCAGATCATTTCAGTTCTAGTTTTAATGGACGTTGTTATCAGTTTCGGATTTTTTAGTGGGTTTCTTCACATTACTGAGTATTGTCAGATATTGTCAAATTTGATCAATTTTGCAATCTTTAATCGGTTTCTGCTGAACCTATTTTAAAGTTCTATACATTAAATTTAAGGAAATAAAAATAGCAATGCTGGTTTCATATACGACACCTATCTGGAATTCATAGTTTTCGCAGTTTATTTTGAAATATCATCGGGTACTACAATTTTGGGTGAAATTTGTAACATGTTATAATAATCATTTATTGAGTTTATTATATATTCAATTAATAAAGATTCTTATGATTAACTTATTGTAATATATCTTAAGGTATTGTTATCGCACAAGTAAACGAAGTTGGTTTTTCCCGTTTTGCTTTTTCTACGCACATTGTATAGAGTGTATATGTGAATATGCGCTTGCTTTGTAGTCGTGTTGCCAGATTGACGTGTTGTCTATTTTTAGTGCTGCCATAACATAATAACATAACACGAGATTTAGTTTTTCTTAAATGTATAATACATTAAATTTATATTCATATTACTATTACACGGATCCATAATATCTATTTATTCGTTTAAAACTTGCTCTCCGTAAATACTGACCTAATTTTTATAATTAAAATTAACCTTAATGGTGCCTAAGCTTTAAGCGAGTTGAAGTGTAAAGCCCAAAACAATTTTTCCGTTAACTTTGCAGTTAAGCTGGTTATGTCTTTGAAGTGCAGTTTTAAGTTGAGTATGCCTGAACCGGGCGTTACGGATGGCATAGTCAACATGTGGTATAAAGTTATGCTGGGATAAGAAAACAATGCCAAGATATTTCAGCTTGGGAACAAGCTGAATTGTAGAATTATTAAGCCTGAGCTTAATATTAGAGATGCTGTAACCTCTGGGATGATCACGCTGCTGGGCAGTAAAGGCAATGGCAGAGATCTTGGAGGAATTCAGTTAAATCCTCCACCTGGTATAGTAGTCGAAAAGAGATTTAAGGTGGGCTTTAAGCTCATTGGAGACGCGGTAAGGATTACACGATCGCATGAAGACAAGGCAGTCGTCTGCGAAGCAGATTTGCTTAATAGGGGTCCGCGGGAGCGGGATGTTTGCCAAAACAGGTTGAAAAGGAGGGGTCCAAGAACCGAGCCCTCAGGGACGCCGGCGTCGATTGGAAAAACCCGGGACAGAAAGGAACCAACTCGAACCTCAAAGGTTCTGTTGGAAAGAAATTTTTTGGACTATACTGTAGAGCGTAGGAGAGAAGCTGAACTGGTGAAGCTTAAGAATTAAGCCTTCAAACCAGACAGTATCGAAGGCTTTTTCAATGTCAGGACTTAGTGCCACAGTGGGCTACTTTTTGAAAAAGCCTACGCATATCTCGTTTTGGAGATGATGCAGGGCATGGACGATGGAGGTTTGGCACCTAAAGCCGAACTGAAAAGGTGGAATAATATTATTCCCAGAGGAGAAAGACTTCAGCTTGCTGGCTATAAAAGTCTCATAGAGCTTACTCATAGAGTTGAGAAGAGAAATAGGACAATAGCTGAAGGGTTCAACTTTGGGTTTGTCACTTTTGGCAATGGGACAAACCATGGCCTTCCTCCATGGCTGGGGGAAGGAACCAGTGTTGTACGCATAGTTGAAAAGCATGTCACACTTTTTAAAAAAGTGTGTGTACGCCTCATGGCGTAGAAAGACACGCAGCCAGTGCCAAATGACTTTTTAAGTGTTTTGAGCTGAAGAATGTCGATGAGTTTGGATGGGGTGAAAAACCCTTGGGTGTCTTCAACATTAATGCAGTGAGCGGAGAACTGCGGGAAGAAAATGACAATGCTTGGGACGCATTGTCCCTTGAGGTTGGCTTGGGACGCATGAGCTTGCGTTGAAGCTACCTGTCTAAGGCGATAAGTTCGGCGGCGAAGCAATTTCCTCAGATTAATGGGGTGAACGATAGAAGCATCAAGTGGAACTTGATAAAATTTGCGAACACGCACCTTCTGAACATGCTCATCAATTATGGAGGCGAAGATGCTTTTAAGAGTACAGGCAGCAAAATCGATCTCCACAGGAATCATGTTCCTGTGTTCAAGGATATTTAAATTAAGAAGACGGTAGTCGAGAGCGAGGTTGAACTCCGACCAGTTGGTGCTAGGAGAGTTAAAAAATGTGCGAGGGCAGGCACGAGTAGCTCTGCAGTCGTGAAAGGCAAGCCTTACTGCTTGGTGGTCAGATATGCCGTCAATGACTCGTGGGTCACCAAGGTAGGAAAGGAGGCGATCATCCGCTAAGAAAAAGTCAATGAAATTATTGACATGAGTCGGAACCGATGGATCTACCACACTTAAAATAGAGCTGACTGAGCTGCTAGTTAGCCAGTTGAATAGCCTAGTGCTACTAGGGCAAGAGGCAAAATTATTTGAAAAGGGGTGCTTACTATTGAAGTCATCACCGATAAGGAAAGGGACAAGAGGACAAGGAGACAAGGGTACCCAGATCACAAGGGACAATGTACGAAACAATAGAGGAAGTATGATAGACGCAAAAGATGTTAACATCAGGGCGGTTGGAGCGAGAAAGAGTACTGCCAACCGCCAATAGAGAAACAAGTGAAGGGATGTGAATCCTAGTACACTTGAGGAAGTCTTTTGCCAAAATGGCGACTCCCCCACCGACGCCGTCCCTATCGAATCGGATAAAATTATATCCTTTGACATCTACAACGTCTCTGATATTCAGCCGTGACTGAAACACAAGGATGATATGGGAGTTGTTGCGTTCAGCAAAATCCGCGAAAAAGGTACGCCTAAGACTGGAGTGTGTAGAATTGACATTTATGCAAATGATCCTTAGATGATTCATTTCAAAGCCAATTCGAGGACTATCTGGGCAAGAAAGGCTTTCTTGTGAGAAAGAAGGCTGTACTGCTGTTTAATGCCTGCAGCAAAGGCGAAGACTCCCTAAATATCAGGGAGAAAGGAGGCAGGCTTAGGAGCACGGATTGGGGAAGGTTTAGCTGCTTTAAGCAGCGAAGTGGACTTAGGGGTTGCTCAATTCATTGGGGTCCTCAGGTCAATAGACATGAGGGGAGGATTTTTTTGCGCATGTGTCTTACTGGCGCGAAGAAAACGCAGCTTCTTAAATTCAAAACAGCGGTCATTGGCCAGATGACCAGTCTGACCACAATTACAGCACCTGAGAATAGTGACTGCAAGTTACTCCTGAGTGACTGGGTCAAAAACAGGAGGAGGAAGTTGACACTCGCCACGAGGATGTGTCTCACCACAGCGCACACAATGATGGGGGTAGTTGCACAGCTTAGCTGTGTGAAAATAGCGTTGGCAGTTAGAGCATTGAGGGATCTCATTGCGAGATTGGAAGCCGCTTAACACTTAAAAGGGATTTAACGTCCGTGGAAGGGACAGGATGAAGCTCACAAATGCAGGAATTGGCATATCGAGAAGGATTACGCTTTGTGAAGCGCGCGGGGGAACTCAGATAAGTCCGTCGACACGTCGACTTCAAGTCATCCTCATCATAGGATGAAGGGAAGCTCTCAAGGAGGACAGGAGTGACTCGATCCTCTGAGGGGATGGAGGCAAAACTCTTAACTTTCTGCTCACGGAGCAGAGAACTGATATTGTAAAAGGTATCCTTACTCTTAGTAATGATACGTGTGGTTGTGCCGTTTACGCATTTACCTAAATTCATAAACAGCATTGGAAAAAGCGGATTTTATTGCGGAGCCAAGCTCCTTGACATTGACGGCACGGGCCGTAATGGCTGGTGGCGTCGAAGACTTAGTGGCCGAAACCAAGAGAACAGTAGACTTGGCACTGGCTTGAGGGAGACTAGTAATGATACAGATGGTAGCTGTGAAGGTAGAAGGGGGTACAGTAACTCCGGCGGGGGAAGAAGAGGAAGTCTTTTGTGGGGCCCGTAGCAGCGCCAGCTTAGTGGCAAGAAAGGTATTTTTAGAACGAAGCCGGGCGTTTTCAGCCCCAAGGGCTGCAACGGATTTTAAAACTGACGCAAGTTGCTCATCAACTTGCTTACGGTTTTAAGGGTCAACGACAGTCCTGGATCGTTTCAATGACGGGGATGGAGAGATCGTCCTAACATCAGAGCTAACCTTACAGGATTGTGGATCGCCATCTTCCATAATTGCTAAAGAGAATTAGTAAACTCAGGAGAATTAAGATATGATTTGAAAGGTGAGAATAATTTTGGAAGGAAAGGAAGAATAAGGATTAATGAAGGTGGAATAGAAGATGAGCGAGAAAGATAT